CCAACTAATCAGGGAGTATCGCTCCAAACGATATAGTGATCTATTGCTGCTATCATGTAGCATTTCTTCCACTGCATCTCTCCAATGAAAAGCTATGTTCAACATTAGACAAGGTCAAACAAGACACTTATGAAGTTGATCGTGCCAACACTCGTTTTTCTCCCCGTTTCTACAATTATTATATTGGAAAATTCTATCTTTAGAGATTCAAATCCGAGTTTCAAATCCAAGTTCAAGAAACATACCGAGATTATTATAGGAAAATTTTATCTTGAGATTCAAATCCGAGTTCAAGAAACCAACAAAGATTTATTATTTAGGAAAATCCTATCTTTGGAGATTCAAATCCTTGAGATATACCGAAACATATAGATTTTTATATAGTGAGATTATACCGCAATTATTATATAGAGATTATACCGCGATACCATTCCAACTGAAATAAAATAATTAAAGTTCCATCTATAGAGGATCCAAATTCAAGTTCAATAGACATATAAGGTACATCCATCTATTGAGACCCAAATTCAAGTTCAATAGACATATAGTTGTATTGGCAATAGATCAATAAAAAATCAAGTTGTTTAAAATTTTGTTAACCAACATATTTACTAATCGATCCGTAATCGGATTCGGATTCTGCTGTTCTTTTTTCTGCAATACCTCCTAGCAGTGAGATGGATTTAAAAATCAAGTTGTTCAAAAGTTGTATGTTTTAAATTTATTGATACAATTGGTATATAGTTCAATAGACTCTTAACAAAAAAAAAAAAAATATCGTGGCTTTAAAAATCAAGTTGTTCAAAAGTTCTATGTTCTAAATTTATTGATACAATTGTATATATTTCAATAGACACTTAACAAAAAAAAAAATATCCAGGCACGCGCTGAAGCACATGAAGGAAGGCAGGTCGATAATCAACACGACCTCCGTCAACGCATACAAGGGAAATGCAAAGCTGCTCGACTACACGGCCACAAAAGGTGCTATCGTGGCTTTCACACATGGGCTTTCCCTCCAGCTGGTTGACCGTGGCATAAGAGTCAACGGGTTG